CACTGACATGACCCAAAGCTGAGGGATCATGGGCACTGACCCATTGACATGACCCAAAGCTGAGGGATCATGGGCACTGACCACTAACATGACACAAAGCTGAGGGATCATGGGCACTGACCCACTGACATGACACAAAGCTGAGGGATCATGGGCACTGACCCACTGACATGACACAAAGCTGAGGGATCATGGGCACGGACCTTCTGATATGACCCAAAGCTGAGGGATCATGGGCACTGACCCATTGACATGACACAAAGCTGAGGGATCATGGGAACTGACCCACTGACATGACACAAAGCTGAGGGATCATGGGCACTGACCCATTGACATGACCCAAAGCTGAGGGATCATGGGCACTGACCCATTGACATGACCCAAAGCTTAGGGACCATGGGCACTGACCACTGACATGACACAAAGCTGAGAGATCATGGGCACTGACCACTGACATGACACAAAGCTGAGGGACCATGGGCACTGACCCACTGACATGACACTGGCTTCCTTTCACTGCTTTCTAGTGGCTTAGATTTCCTAACACATGCTTGGGTGTCATAGTTTATACTGTCCATTATCCTTACTAGAAGTAGCTTGTGAGTGGTGAGACAATGAGCTATTCTGTTCGATCTGTCTGTCTGTCTGTCTGTCTGTCTGTCTGTCTGTCGATCTGTCTAGCTCTGTAGTGTGTAACATAACATGTATAAAGATTTAAAAACTGGCGGCGCAGGGAAAGGCTGGGATGCAGTTCAGCTGGCAGAGCGCTTGCCTGGAGTTCATAAAACCTTGGTTCCAGTGTCACACCAGCGTAGCATGGTGGCACAACATTGAGGAGGTGAAGACAGAGGTCAGAAGTTCAAGATCATCCATGTGAGTAAAAGACAGCCCGGAAAACATAAGATCCCGTCTCAGAAGGGGTGGGGGTGGAGTAACAAGGAAGACCCAGAAAACCTTGTAGGAAAGTGTCTTAACAACATCAGTTATGGTTACTGAGGAAATTCGTATCAAAGCCAGGCTGGAAAGAGTACTTCACTGTCACTGAAATGGCTTTTTTTCTGGGTGGGACACCGGGGATGGGGCACAAGGCTTTACTGGGCTACACTGCCAGCCACTTACCTTGAGACAAGTTGTCATTAAATTGCCCAGGCTGACCTTGAACGTACTCTGTAGCCCAGGAAAGCCTTGAAATATACTTCCTGCCTCAAACCCAAGTAGCAGGAGCCTGCAACCCCAGGCCTGATTTTTTTTTCTATTTTAAAGTAAGATAATAAAGTTGGCTAAAATATGAAAACATTGGAACCCTTGCACACTGCTGAGATGAAAACTGGTGGAAAAAGTGTGATGATTCCTCCAGAGCCATCCCAAGAATCACCACGAGACAATGCTGTGCAGCCCGAGCTGAGAGCAGGGCTGTGTCTGCTCTTGTTACCAGCGAGTGACTCACAGAAGCCCAAAGTGGAAGCAACCCCAAGCTTCTCTCAGCTGAAGAACTTCAGTTGTCCAGAAACAGAATAGCAAACACCACAGGAGTCCACTCCCAGGCAGGAAGCAGATCAGCCACTGAGGCAGAGGAGGAGGAGGAGGAGGAGGAGGAGGAGGAGGGAGAATTGTTCAATGGGTTCAGAGTTACAGAAAGATGAGAACGTTCTGGTAACAGTTACGAAGTGTTGTGAATGCCCTTCGTGTCCGACAAATGGCCAATTCTGATGTTTTTAACCCAAACTTATTTACAAAATTGCCAGGTGTTTGACTAGAAAGGGATGTTAATCATCTGCCTAAAGGCTGTTTATGCTGAACCCTGAGCTGTGTACAGCTCATTCACAGTGTGTGTTTAACACCTGTCACCAGCATGTCCGATACACTCATGTTCCTGGATGTGAGAAGCTTGATCTAGATGCTTGATAAAGCCCGGGGCACACATGCACACATTAAGGTCTGGGTAAGATTCTTCACTGTAGTCAACTA